CTAAACCCTAATCCCTAAACCCAAGCGGCCCTAGCATATAAAGGGAAGCCCCCAGGTCCGACGTTGATCCGAAGTCCGAAAGCGGCGAAGCTTTAGCCTAACGCAGCTGAGTTTGGGGGAGTAGGGCTTACGCGGTTTAGGGTTTAGGGCTTTAGGTTTGGATTTCGGGAATAAACAGGCTTCTTTTGCAACAGCCGTTCAAGTTTGAGGCTTAGTGCAGAGAGCTTAAGAGGTAGATAGTGTTTTGGGGTGGTGGGCGGATATACCAATCACTAATGGATATTTGGTGGTTTATTGTTTTTGGGTTTATGTGATTACTTAGTTATTGAATTGCTTTATTATCCCTTAGGTGTTTACTCGTTTATACATACACATACATACATACATATATATATATATATATATATATATCTGTGCAGGAGTGTATGTGAGAACGAACGTATGTATGTGCGTATGTTTAAAGCCTATATTTAAGTTTATAGAGTGGTATTGACTCTCAGGGAAACTCCTACTAAGCTGTCACTAGGCAGTCCGACTCTCCACGGCCTGAGCTCCCGAAGCCAAGGCCTTAAACCAACACACCACATAACGCGCCGAGGGAGCAACCCCAAACAAGGAGCCCTTGTCCTCCTCCACCCCCAGGGCACTCCCCAGTTGATCCACGGTGAGGGTTCCGTTGCCCTGTCAGAGAGCCTGAGTGTGTTTTGAGGGGGGTGAGACACCCTAAGGCCCTAAGCCCTAAGCCCTAAACCCTTGAACCCTACCAGGAACCCCCGAATGACCCTTCAATAGAGCCCTTGTGGTCCTTAATCGTGGGTATTTAAGGGATAATAGAGGGTAGTTGGGGGGTCTAGGTACACCCTCAAACCTCAACGGTCTATAGACCTTCTATAAGGCTCCCATAACCGGAACTACCCACCCGAAAATGTCCTAGATTTGAACCCTACACCCTCAACCCTAAACCCTAAACCCTAAACCGCCTACATCCTCAACGCTAAACCCCAAACCCAAAGTGCCTCTGAGAGGATGTCGTCCTGCTCAAAGGTCGACAGCAGCTCCTTCTTTGGGTTTCTTAGGGTCCTTGAGGCTTCTTATCCCAGACCCCCCAAAAGGATCTAAAAAATTGATCCCCTAAGGGGGGTTCCTATAAAGTACCCTTTAGTAGTTAGGGTCCCTAACTAGGGGATCTATTTTTTTAGATCCTTTTGGGGGGTCTGGGATTGGAGATCTGGGAGTTCGGGTTTGGGGATAAGGCTTTTGGGGATGTGGGTGGTTTTTGGGGGGCTTAGGGATGAGGCATTTTGGGTTTTTTGGGGGCTTAGGGATGAGGCATTTTGGGTTTTTGGGGGGCTTAGGGATGAGGCTTTTTGGGTTTTTTGGGGGCTTCGGGATGAGGCATTTTGGGTTTTTTTTGGGGCTTAGGGTTCAGGGATAATATGCGTTTTTTTTGGGGTTTTTGGGGCTTAGTCCTCTGGGTTCCTGGGTTCAGGATGTAATGCGGAGGGTTTGGCGTTTGGGATCCAAGCTGCAGGGCTCAAGGCCTAGGGTTCGTGGGGCTTGTGGGGAGGCCTGTCGGGTTGAGTCTGTTTACTTGCATGTTTTGCACCAGCTTGCATAATTGAAAATGATGTAATCCTCAACCCTAAACTCTAAAAAACCTTAAACCCCAATCCATCCTGAACCCTAAACCCTAATATGTCCCACCTCCAAACCCGAAATGCTAAACAAGGATTCCTGTGGGGCCTTTTGGGGTGATAAGAAGGGCTTGCGCTGAGCGTAGCCGTTGAGAACTCAGTCCTGGCTACACAGCAAAAACCCAGACATCAGGGCTCAACCGCAGGGTGTAGGGTTTAGGGCCTCTGAGCCCTCAACCTTGAACTGTTTGGGCTTTCGAGTTTGGGGTTTAGGGTTTACGGGTTAGGGCTCGGGGTTGGAGGCCAACCGTAAAACCAACTGAGACCAAAACTCTGAACAGGCCAGCATCACCGTTCGAAAGCGTCTGCCAGCCCATAGGCCGAACAGTGACACTTACACCCAAACCAAAAAATACCCTAAACTCCAAACCCTAAACCAAAAAAATAAACCTAGCCCTCAAACCCCAAACCAACAAAAAAAACTAAACCCCAAACCCTAAACCGAAACCCTAAAGCCCGAAGTCTCTCTGAAGCCCTAAACCACAAAGCAAGAAGTTTCCATACGAACCCTGGAGGTCTAGCGAAGCCCAATCAAAAAGTACTCAACCCTACAGTGTAGTCCTATTTTGTGGTCAACTCAAAAGCCGATGCTATAGGGGCCTTATAGTTAGAACAGGGTTTAGGGTTTA